GTCGGAGTCGAAAACATGGGTATTTTCTTGTATCCTACTCCGCCACTTTTCCCTGCTTTTTTCAGAAAAAAACGATTATTTTATTCATAGAACATTTGGTTTTTTCTAAGCTCGCATATATATAGATATAGATATGCTTATTCCGGCAATAAAGCAGTAGCTCAGTAGCAATCGTATTGATTTATACCCTCTTTACAGTGTATTTAAGGCTTGAAAAACGTTCAAACATCCATCCATTTTTCACCGTAAAAAAGAAAAAATCAACTGGTTAATGACGCTCTGCCGTCCCTGGTTGAAATACTATCTGGTTTGACCTTCTTAGAACAATAAGAATCGAATTACAACAGTCAAAATCTGTTCGTGTGTAATAATGAAATGAAAATTTTTATAATTTATTTCATAGATATTCTATAAAGATTTGATCAATACTGTAGAATAAATATACTTTGAGTTTGTTTATGCTTGTATATATTAAAGATTCAACTATAAGACAAACAATAAGCACATACAATATAAAAATCGTTGACTACTATTTTGTTTCGATTATTTCCTCAGCATCATCTAATATAAGTGTAAGTTCAGTTAGTTCAACAAGTGAATCAATATTATCAACATGTGTACTACAAGTTTGTACAGGAACCATGAGCATAGTCAAAGCCATAAACCAATATATGATACTATGAAAATGTTTAACAGCTTCATACCAACCATATCTATAATTGAGATATTTCCATGTAACTTCTGCATATTTATTTTGAATATGAAATATAGTAGAAGAATTTGTTGAATCTATTGAAATATTTGGAGAATATGAATAAATAGTTTTTGATAAAGCAAATAATGAAAGTGCTAATTTAAATATTATAATATCTGAAATAATAAATTTCATTGCCCACAGAGTTAGAAAGATTGCACGGTTGCCAAACATTGCTGTCATAATTTTCAAATAAGAGTCTAGACTATATAAATCAAAATGATGTATAATAAATGCACCAGCCATGCAAGATACATTATCTGCAGCATTACGGAGTAAAGTGGAACGATCAGAAAATGATAATTTACAAATATCATCATTCGAACGAAGATATCTTCCAGTTGTTTCATAAAGAGATAATAAATAATTTTCTACAAGTTTTTGATATGTCGCATTCATTGGTTGTAAAGAATTATGTGTATCTACTAAAGATTTACCAAGTAATAAAACTTGAGATTCATCATAACTATTATATAAATTTGAGAGAAGTGTCCATTGACTAGTAGTCAATAATGAATGATCTGGTTTTAAAGAATTTAATATTGATAACTAAAAAATAAATAAGAAAAATATTTCGTACATTTATATTATCTTATTTTTTCTGATTGGTATTGTGGTCCTACTTTAACCAATGATTTTGTTTTTGTTTTCGTTGGTCTTGGTGATCGAAATTTTTCAGTAGTCATTCCGAATTGAAAACATTTCCCAAGTCGACATGGTGGACACATCTGACGATTACCTCGTTTTATTTCACAATAGCCATCAAAATTACATTTAAATGTTTCCTAAATCATACGATTAACTTTTATTTAAAAATTGAAAACAAAATAATCAAAACTCACCTGTTCAACAGTGGCATTTCGTTTAAAAAACATTTTACATGAATTACATGAAATAGCACCAAAATATGCATATTGAGCAGGAGCGTCACATATTCGACATTGAGATAAATTTTGTTTTTTTGTTACTGGTTCAGTTTCAATTGTCAATGGAAGATTTAACGTTGTATTTGTAGATAACATTTTTATTTGTATTCTAAAAATAGGATATGATATTAAACTGAATATGTTTAGATTAATATGTAATAGCCAGGAAAGAAACACAACTTGCGTATATAGAAAAAGAAAATGTTGATGACACGACGTGTTGTTACTCTTATATTCTACACAGAATGAAAAAATGTTTTTTTCGTTCTATTATTTGTCCTTCACGTGCTTATATTTTTTTCTTACAGAAACGACAAAATTAATTTTTTTGTTTTACTTTCTTCATTTATTTTCTCGTCATTTCTTTAAGTTCTGCATTTGGCTATAAAACTTAATCTTCAAAGTTGGTATTATAAATCTAGACAATGTATTTATGAATAATATTCTTTTATAATTATAAATATCATTTGTGGAATTAAAAAATTACAACATAACTGATACAGTTATATGAACGATATTTATAGTCAAAGTCATTCATCAGTTTTCAATAAACAATTATTTATATATTGAATAGCAAACAAATACAGATCAATTTCTATGTCTGAAATTTAACTTTATAACAAAGAAAATTATTTATTGATTGTACTATATTTATTTTTTGTTGCAATTTTTTTTAAAGAACTCAATTCATCAAACGAATGATTTTTAGATAAACAAAACTGTACATAAGAATTTGAATTATTTGTTTTTCAAAATCCAACATTTATTCATTAAACTCCATTAGAAAAGGATTAAAAATTTGTTATAATCACACACTTTTAATCAGAAATAACTGGAAAAACTAAAATTTCCTTGATAACTATGATGAATTGCGCGTATAATCCAAGTTCATTCTAATAATCAAGGGAATTTTGATTGTTTCATCATTTCTCATTAAAAGCGTATGATGGTAACAGTTTTCTCGCCAAAGTTTTTTACATAAGAATGTCGGTTAAACAAAATCAGATTATATCTTTTCAAAGTAAAAATTAGGTGTACTGGATTTGAAATGCATCCGTTCTGGTTTTATTTTAGACAACCAACGCTGAAAGACTTTTTTGTGCACGAATAGTTTTATCTTTTCTTCATCTATTTTTTGAATATTTCCAAGCAGTATTTCTATGTTGCACTTTTAGTTAATGTTTTTGCTTGAAAAAATAAAGTATGATGCAGTGTTATTAAATTTCAACACGAATTAAGGTCAGGAAGAAAGACTAAGCGATGAACAGTTAAAATAATCTTCATCTGATTTGCTATCTGAAGTGATTCGTTTGAAAAAATTGAGCCTGTCGTAGAGTCAAACTGTTCCGCCGTCCATGTATTTGCCACAAAAGCATACTGGTATTTTTCTTCGAAAATTCTACCAGAACGTCTATGATTATAGTATATTGGTTTTGTGTATTGAAAAAATTGGATAAGAACGCTACGAAATGTGTTATATCTTTTATCAAGATTTTAACTCTGTAATTGTTAAAAATGATACTGAATCTCATTAGATATATATTGAGAAGCATCTTGAGGGTGTGAGTGAGTAATAAACAAAATACTCATATCCACACCCACACCCACAAGATGGTAACTGATAAATCGCAATGCATTGACGATTTTTCTCAGTATTTGGGAAATCATTAGATAATTCAGAATTCTTTTGCTGAAATCGCGATCCATCACTAGAAAAGTGCGATGATTTTGGCTACGTGGATGTATTCAGGAAAAAGTCATTCTTCATGTTGTATATTATTCTGTTTTATGCTTCTTGAATATGTATAAAATTCTACTTTTTCGCTAATAAACCATGAACAGAGTTGTACTGAAAAGGTTTCATTTCAAAAGTAGTGATATATTTATACATTTGTATGCATATTAAGAATTATTATAAGTACTCTGATTCATCCTTATTTTAAATTTATAATTCATGTAAGATGGAAATTATGCGTGGTTAAATCTTTTTTGTCGTTTGTTGATGATGAATGTAATTTTTTACAAGCTTTTCTTAGTTATCTACATAATGGTCATTTACAGACTTTCAGTTGAAAGAATATAACAAGAAGAAGGATAAATAAAGCTACTTTAAACATTTAACAATATAAATAATTTTCTTCACTTGCGATTCTCCAATAACAAACATGACTCAACACGTTTTTTCTCCATTAAAGCAAATCAACCATGACATTATTACATCAGTGTATTATTTTCGTTCTTCACTATTTCTTTTTTATAACCACGTTATCATGAGACAAAAAAAAAACCATTTCGAAATTACGTAGACACTTATTAAATGAGCCGATTTCGATTATTACCTCACTAGTAAACTATACACAATAACTTGGATTCAAAGCATTCACACAATCAACAATGAGCAATAGAAAATCAATAGCAAATAACGAATCTGATGGCGCAATGAATAAATATCCATTTCCAGAAGATGCAGAAGGTCGTCGACGTATCAATATTCAACGCATGCAAAATGTTCTTCTTATCTGGTTAGACAGTAACATTGACGAGACAAATAATGATTGCCAAAATACAATCAAACAACTGCGACGGGCTATCAACGACATCAATACATTTACAGAGGGTGATCAATGCCTAGAATTCATTGAAACAATCGTTAACAAAAAAGCATGTATGATTATATCTGGATCACTTGGACAACATATTGTATCTCGTGTGCACATTATGTCTCAAATTGATTCAATTTTTATTTTTTGTGACAACCAAAACTATCATGAACAATGGGCCAAAGAATGGTCTAAAATAAAGGGTGTCTTCACAAATATTACATCTATCTGTAAAGCACTCAAATTGGCAGCTCATCAATGTGAGCAAAATGCCATTCCAATGAGTTTTGTGGGATTAAACAAAAAATTGGATCACTTAGATCCTTCTTTTATGTATACACAACTCATCAAGGAAATATTACTGAGCATCAAGTTCGAACAAAAACACATTCAAGATTATATTAATTACTGTCGCGATGTTTTTGTTGACGATGACGAAGAAATGGTTCATATTAAACAGTTTGAAGATGAATACTACGACGAACCACCAATTTTTTGGTACACCTGTGACATGTTCCTCTATCCCATGCTCAATCGTGCATTACGATTGATGGATGGTGATATCATTACAAGAATGGGCTTCTTCATCGGTGATTTGCATAGAAATATCGAACAACTACACCAGGAACAATATGTTGATAAAACTGTTGCTGACACCTTCACTCTTTATCGTGGACAAGGTTTATCTAATGCGGATTTTGAACAAATGATGAAAGCTAAAGGTGGTCTTGTTTCATTTAACAACTTCTTATCTACCAGTGAAAACATCAAAGTTTCATTAGGTTTTGCTGAAGATGCTACAAAAAATCCAGATCAAGTGGGAATTGTTTTTATTATGCATATTAATCGTGCTCAATCAACAACACCCTTTGCTTCCATTGCTAATATCAGCGCTATGAAAAGAGAAAAGGAAGTTTTATTTTCGATGCATAGCGTGTTTCGCATCCAGGATATTAAACAGATGGATGGAAATAATCGTTTGTATGAAGTTAACTTGACACTTACTAGTGATAATGATCCAGAACTGAACAGACTTACTGATTACATTCGAGAAAAGAATTTTCCAGACAAAGAAGCATGGTACAGATTGGGTTCCGTATTACATAAAATGGGTCAGTTTAACAAAGCTGGACATATTTATCAAGTTTTATTTGATCAAACAAACGATGATAAAGACAAGGCAGATATTTACTCTCAACTTGGTTTAATCAAAGAAGCTCAAGGAAAATTTGAAGAAGCGCTTTCATCTCATGAAAATGCCCTTGAAATTCGACGACAATCACTTCCTCCTAATCATCCTGATTTGGCTGTTTCTTACAACAACATTGGTGAAGTGCATGACAGTATGGATAATTATCCCGCAGCATTATCATTTCACGAAAAAGCTCTTGAAATCCGACGACAGTCACTTCCTCCCACTCATCCTGATTTAGCTGATTCCTACAACAACATTGGTAATGTGCTTGACTGTATGGGTAAATATTCCGAAGCACTCTCTTATTATGAGAAAGATCTTGAAATCAGTAAACAGTCACTTCCTCCCAATCATCCAGATTTGGCTACTTCCTACAGCAACATTGGTTCAGTGCATGACAGTATGGGCAAATATCCCGAAGCTCTTTCATTTCATGAAAAAGCCCTTGAAATTCGACAACAATCACTTCCTTCCAATCATTCTGATTTGGCTACTTCCTATAGCAACATTGGTAATGTGCATTACAGTATGGGTAATTATCCCAAAGCACTTTTATTTTACGAAAAAGGTCTTGATATTCAACAACAATCACTTCTTGACAATCATCCTGATTTGGCTACTACCTACAACAACATTGGTTCAGTGCATAAATACATGTGTAATTACTCTGAAGCACTTTCATTTCTTGAAAAAGCCCTTGAAATTAGACAACGATCACTTCCTTCAGATCATCCATATTTGCTTGTCTCATGCGGGAACATTGGTGTAGTGCATGACAGCTTGGGTAATTACACAAAAGCCCGTACCTTTTATGAACATGCTATACAAATCGGAGAACAATCATTACCTTTAAATCATCCGGATCTTCAAATGTATAGAAATAAGCTCGAAGATGTAATAAACAGATAATAAATTATAATGTTATGAATTTTTTTGTGAAAGAGAAAAAATAAATTCTACAAATGAAAAAAGAATTGTTTCAAGTGTGCACGCGTACAAAGAAACTCTGATCTTGTTGAGAACAGAAATGGGTAATAATACGCATCTATAAAGTAAGCAATACACATGACGAGACATGTATTGTAGAAAAGACGTTGACCATATATAATTATTGTGTCGGAACAAGGTAGAGTTTCGCTATGTTGGTTAAGAAAAAGAACGGCTATCTAACAGGCTGTTTTAAGTAATGAAGAGAGAGCAAAGAACTGCATTTATATTCATTACTATGAATTATTCTTTCTGTTTCAATAAAAAGAATGATTTAAATGTATTGAATAAATAAATGATTTCTTGACATATTAATATACTATGGAACAGATCAGTATGTTAACAAGAATAGGAAGCACTTCTCAACTTAACTCAATGGGATGAAATGAGCATATATAAAGTGTCATTAACGAGGTGGATAATAAAAAGGCAACACAAAACCATCTTGAGGGTGTGGGTGTGATTGGTGGGTGTGGAGTGTTTCTTTTTCATTTACACTCATACCCACCCACACCTACACCCACACCCTCGACGATGTTTGACAACTATAAAAAATTTGAAGAACAACAATATCACCAGAAGGTGGATGAGTGGGGTTGGTCTTCTAATCTCACACCCACACCCACACCCACACCCACACACACACACACACACACACCCACCCCCACCCCCACCCCCACACCCACACACACACACACACACACACACACACCCACACCCACCCCCACACCCACACCCACACCCACACCCACACACACACACACACACCCATACCCACCCCCACCCCCACACCCACACCCATACCCACCCCCACACCCACACCCACACCCACCCCCACACCCACCCTCAATTCAGCATTAAAAAAATATGATCATGAATATTTTACCTATGTGTAACGTATTTTTAAGTGTTTTTTGTATCACTTTATACTAAACGTCGTTAATATTTTATACCTAATATATACCAAAGGACGGATGAATATTAAAAAACTATTATTTTCTACCACACAGTATCTGTTTTTCAAATATACTTAATCATCAACATCTGCCTTTTGCTATGATCAATTAAATTTTTGATTACTTCATTCGAACGATTTGAAAAAGAACTCTTATCATTGTGGCTAGTAAATCAACGATATTGTTCATTTTTTATGAGACTCTGTCTATATAGAATAAATTTGTTCTTATCGATCATATTCTTCATAATATATAGTTACATGTAACTTTCTTATTTTCGAAAATTGCACATATGGAGAAAATAAAGAATAGAATGAAGAAAAGAAAAAATATATCTGTATATATGGTTCATTAAATGAACCATATATAGAGATATATTTTTTCTCTGTTAAAGCAAATCAAGCATTTATTTTTCGTGAGCTACTGCTATAGTTAATCAACCTTGACAATATTTCATCAGTGTGTTTTTTTTGTCCTTCATTAGTTATTTTTCATAACCACATCATAAAGAGGCGAAGAAAAAACTATTTCAAAACGGGTGTGGGTGTAGGTCAGTAGATAATGTAATCATCTCCCATCCACCCACACCCACTCTGTCGGAAGCACACACAGAACACAATAGAATGTACTTCTCGAAGAGTATTTTATCGATCGTCCCATTATTTAGCCTTTTTTTTATAGTAAATGAATTTAATTTATTTTAACGAATAAATAATCATTTGGAAATTTTCGTTGGACAGCTGTAATATTAACTTCCATCGTTTGAATATTTATTTTTGAAATAAATGTTTTTGACAAATCTTCACTTGATGATAAAACATAAAAGAATTGATTTTCATAATCAACCGAAAACGGTTTATATCCTTGAGCAATTCTTTGACCATCCGGTGTGATTGTCACATTGCCAATCGGCTGACCAGTTTTTTCATTGATTTTAATTACAACTAATGGTGTGACGATATTATATTGATCTAATGCAACTAAACCGTTGTTTGATTGAACAAATCCAAATCCATAAACATTAAAATCAAATACTTTTGATTGAACGAATCTTTGAGTTGCTTTTGAAGATAAATCTAATGTTATTAAAACGGTTGCTTGTTGATTAGAATCATAAGCATGATATGTAAACAATTGTGTTTTAGAATTAAAATAACTTCCAGACATCGGAAAACCATATTGACTTAAATCCATAAATTGTTCCTTCACTTGCAATGTTTGAGTATCAATTTCAACTAAAAGATATTTTCGTTCAGTTGACTGATGTATAATCGAATATAATTTCTTTGTTTTTTCATTAAATTGAATATGATCGATCATAAAAGATTGAATTTGTTCTGTTTGATAAACTTGTTTTGTTTTAGAATTAAATTTGAAAAATTTTGAAATTCCATACAGACCTTGTTGCATTAGAAAATAAACATTTTCACAATTGAAATCACAAGTAAAAGTATCAATACGATTGTTTAATGATTTTATATATTTTGATGGATAATTAGTTACTTGGAATCGAGCTAATATTTCACTAAGATCTGCATTTGTTTCATTCCATGTTGTTACAGAATAATCATTGATTGTTATCCATGATGAATAAACACAATTTATTGATAAAAACAAAAGAAATACTGAATATATTGTCATTGTTTTCAAATATTTTCTTTTTACTTCGTTAACAATGTGATTTATATATGTTATATAATACTGCATACCATGGAAATTTTCGCATCTGCTAAAAAGAAAGATAAGTTCGCTCACGTTATTTTTATCTCTTTAGTTAAGTTAAAACAAAAGATGAATAAAAATACAGAAACGGTCCGTAAACGAATATCAGTAAATAATACAGATACGGGTATATTACGGAAGATTTCGATAGTAACTTTATGGAACATATCGAGTAACTCTGAAAGCAATATACACTTTGCCCATAAATGAACTTAAAATGTGTAGCTATTCAGTTTTATTGACTATAGCGTCATTTATGTAAGTGAAGAAGAAAAGAAAATATTCTTTCGTTTCCTACATCCTCTATTATTGAGATCTTCTTCGGGTATGACTAATTTTTGAAGGCGAAGAGCTAAATATAGTACTTAGATTAATCGTGTTCTTTTTCTTCATGTGTCATAATAAACGCTTGTTACAGATAATATTATCTTTTTCTCTCGTATTAACAGAATAGAAAAAGACATTCCTTTGGTATAAATGTACTGTATATCATCACAGAACACAAAAAGAAAACATTTACTTTTGCTTTATATCACGAGATATACGCAAACGATGCCATTGAAAGAGAAATATTATGTCCATTCTGCTCATATTTACAATCGAACAACACAACCAATAGATTTAAAAATTTATTATTGTGGTGAAAATCAACATCATGAAAAAGAAATGATACGTATGAATAAATTAGAAGGTAATGGTGGACATTATTTTGCTGAGACGCGTGCATATGCTAATGCACACACGATTTCTGATCGAAACATTCATAAAATTCAAGCTGAAACCATCGATGGGAAAATTTTAGAAATCAAATGGCCATATGAAGGTTTAGTCGAACGTAATGAAAAAGAATGGCAATTTGACATCGAAGATGATGGAATCAAATCAATTAATCCACGCGTATAAATACATTTTCTTTTTTCTTTTTTTTCTTTTTCGAATAAGCAGAAAAACAAGTTTATTTTATAAGATATTTTACAATTTCTACACAATGAATGTTTAATTTAAAAAAGGAATCGTATTCATAAGTTATTGTTTAAGCATAACAATCTTTTTGAGGAATTATCTTGATATCATTTGAAAACGAATATTTTTTCGTTCAGTTTCAAATAATCACAATCATTGTGAAGAGTTATTTGCTTTGAAATAGTTACAACAGATCCGAAAATATTTGAATTGTTGTTATTAATATGTGTACGAAATGGATATCATGTAGTAATGAATTCAATTCTTGTGAATTCAGTGCATATATACGATCCATCTGGTTTTTCGATTGATATACATTATCACGAGTAGTTTTCGTTTTGAATAATAGAACATTACTATAATTTGGGCTATCTGAAATAAATGAAAAATTATAATCTTGAACAGAACGACTAGACATATCGGTGAAAAGAAAACAATGCGATGCAGACATTTTAACACCCTATTGTTATTCAAGTAATGACCAACATAGTGGACTATAGTTTAATTGTTTCTGACTTTTTCTTAGAATCAAAATCTATCCGTTATTGCGGTATTCATTCAATTAATGAAAGTCTCTATTTTCCTATGTCTTATTCATCTTTACGCTCGTAATTTTATCTATCGTATATCTTCGTATTTAAATTCCTAGTGTATCCTTTTCGATAATTTGCTTCATTATTGAAGGTTTTATTTTATACATATGAAAGAACGAACGATGACTTAATGACGAAGGTGTTTTTTTTCTCTTCATTCACGTGCAGTATATTACCGTATGATAGAACGATCGATTTTATACTTATTTAATACGCAATACGAATGTTGTTAACTATTCGTAATATACGAATTAATTATTATTTTTTTATACAACGCAATTTTTCTTAGCGTTTGATTTTATTCATTAAAAAAAATAAATATCATAGAATAATTCTTGACAGCAACTTCTCAATTAATATCAATTTGTAAAATCTTACTTTCTCTTCCTCAAAACTTTTTTTGAATTGATGATGATCATCAATACCCTCAGTGGCTTCATTTGCACCATATTTTCATTTTTCTTCTTTTTGATATGTCGTCGTTGGTTCCATCTATTAATAACAAATAGTAATGAGAAACAAAACGTAAGAGATATTCCACAATCACGATTTATTCATATCTGGCTTACTGACGTCAATGTCGAACGATGGAAACGAACAAACATATGGATGAGTCTTCTACATGCATTTGTTACTGGTACTCTATGTGTTTACAGTCTTTGGGTTTATTCACCAGATATTCACTATAATTATGAAAAGCACATCACATCGATCACTTATTTGAATTGTTCTTTTTCTTTAGGTTGATAATCGGAATTCACTTCATCAACAGTTTGATTCTTTTTCATCTATCTATAGGCTACTTTTGGTATGACTTAATTGATCTTATCTCGAACCAACAAGGACCTGAATTGTGGGAAATGATGCTTCATCATGTTATTGTAAGTCTTCAACTATTGTTTTTTTGGTATATCAAAGTAAAAATTTCATATACCTTTCAAGGTGATCTTTTCTTTTGGTCCAAATATTATTCGTTTAAGGAATATTGGCTATCAAATTTTAGCACTACTTGCTGAATTCAATTCAATATTTTTACACATTCGAAAACTATTTAAATTGTACAATATTTCATCTACACATCTAATTGTTCGATTGAATATAATTGTCAATTTGGTTACTTGTCTTATATGTCGTTTGGGGGTGTTAGCTTATCTTACTATTTGTATATACCATGACAGAGAACGAGTTGGTGTTTATTATTATAAATTTATCATGTGTACTTGTCTACCTGCACTTTGGATAATCAATTCTACTCTTTTCTATCGTTTATTGAACGCAGATTTTTTAAAAAAATCAAAATCACATAAATTAACTTCTTAATTGTTATATGTTGTTTTTTGTATGTTTTCAAGTTTTATACGAATCGAATAAAGAATTCTCTCATACGAACTCATCAGTTGGGTATGAGTCGAGTGAGTATGGAGGGTGTGAGTGTCAATCAGAGATCAACATAACACCCACACTCAAGATTTTCAGCAGTGGACAATAATCTGATCGGTGAGAAAAATGACTATTTTAA